TTCTCATTGCTCGTACTTCTTGCTAAAACTTCTGAAATCAAATGGCCGTTGCTTAATCACGCTTGGGTTTGGCTCTTCGAGTGGTCCTCGATTTGGGGATTGTTTAGAGGCAGTTTGGAGGTGGAAGAAGGAAGTCGGGAAATTTTAAAAACTGAAGAAGGGTTTTACCGTGGTGAAATTAGGGAAAACGGTGAATTTTGAGTTAATAGGTGAAGGGTAGTTTTGTCATTTTGTCATTTTATTATATTCTTTTTTTTTATATATAAAACATGGGTCAAAGGCCTTTTATCCAATTTCTTGCTTGAACCCGGCTATCTGGCCAAATTCCCCTTTAAAAAAAATAATTTGACTTATTTAAAATAAAAAATTAAGAAGATTCGATTCTTATTCAATTCTTTGGTTCTGGGTCTAGACTGAGAACCGAACAAAACTCATAGGTTCTCGATTTAGATATCCGTTCAGGTATTTAATTTAAGAAGAATTGCTCGGTTCGATTCGGTTCGATTCGAGAGTTTTATCCAACCTTAGTTATTCGAAACTAATACATCACTTTCATCACACTATAAAATCTAGTGCAGCCACATGAGAAGAAAATGCAGAAAAAGAATCTAAGGGTGTGTTTGATCCACATTATTTTTGAAGAATATATTCTGGAATAGTAGATTGATGGAGAATTTGTTGTTAAAAAGAAGGAAAAGTTATTGATGTAATAGAAAATATTATTTTATTGAAAAATGTGTGGTTGAAAATGAGTAGAAGAATGAGAATGAAAATTTTAATGTGTACCAAACAGGTGCTAACTTTCACTTTCTGTATATAGTGTCGTTTGAATGCAAGTTAGGGAAAATTAGGTTTATTTTTGTAGTGGAACAATTTTTACTAGAAAGTATATTAAAACCCTAATTATGTAACTTTACTTAAGGTTATTTAAGTAAATAAAAAATAAAAAATTTTGGTACTCTTAATAAATTTTGTGATGGTAATATAATNTTTACTTAAGGTTATTTAAGTAAATAAGAAAAATATTAAAAATCGCGGTGCACTTAATAAAATTTGTAGTGGTAATATAATTACCCTATATTAAATATCACTAACAATAATTTTTTGAACGATTATATCCATACTCCAATTCAGTTATTTCAATAATATTTTACTTTTTATTTTTTAATATGTATTTAATTTACAAATTGTAATAAAATACTATAGTTAATTCTCAAGTAATTAACATTTACAATTATTTAATGATTATTAATTAGAATTTCACGTTCACATTCAATCTCTGTTACTAATTCTCAATTAATTAACATTAAAATTCACATTTATTTAATTAATATTATTTAGAATTTCACGTTCACATTCAATTCATTATTCACGTTCATGTATATCGAGTTTTCATTAATTGGAAATTAAATTATATTCATTTAATATAAATGATTTAGCTTTTATTGTCACGTATTTATTCATTTGTATTAATTCTAAATTAATTAAAATTTATGTTAATTCATGTATTGTATTTATCATTCATCTTCATTTATGCATTTAGTTGTAATTCTTATACTGACATTTAAGTATGTATTTCACTATTTACATGTATATATAATGATTAAGATAAATTTTCAAGGGTTTGCATCTTTCTCATGTTTAAATCGAAAGGGTAAATTGAGGATCAAATATACTTTCACATTACTTATAAAATATTTCAAAATAACGTGCAATGTACTTCAACTCTGACTAGTAAATCAAAATATCAAATTATAAATTACTTAGTCATCGTCTAGAAAAATTCATAATTTATCTCTATCAATTGAAGATGTATTAGATACTCTGATTGTGATGTGTATACACGTCACGTAAATATTAACATTAATATCAAATAACGTAAAGGAATAATTACGCACGTGTAATATTTAATTTATAAAATCCACATAACGTGCCGAATAATTTTGATCCTTGAATCTTACAAATTAACATTCTAAATATATGTTTTATAGGTTTGTCCTTTAGAACATTCTTTAGGTTTTACATGACAATATTTCTTTGGAGATCAATAATAATCCCTAATTAGGTCAAACGAGCCCAGTGGCTCGTCAGCTCGCCCGCTCAGCTCGAACTGTTCACACCCACGAGCTCCACGAGCTGCTTTTGACGAGCCCGAGCACGAGCCGAG